TATATATAATTTTGAAAATTTAGCATTTTCCTTCCTGTCTGTCTTTGTCTTATTCTTACCTCTTGTTCAGATACTAGCAGATTGTTGTCTTTGCCTGCTAATTTTCCAGCCTGAATACGGGGAACTTTATTATCTGAGTGAAAAGCAAGACATGTAAACTACGTAAAATATACCATATAAAAATATGCAAAATATACTATGTAAAATATAAAGTCCACTTCTGAATCGCAAACAAACAGTTGTCAAAGGAGTTCAATTACCTTTCTTGGCCACCTTTGGCTCCTCTTTTTTTGCTGTCTGACCTGCTGCTGGTTTCTCCTCTTTCTTAGGGTTGTCCTACACACAATAAAGTAAAATCTTGCTACAAACATTATTAAACAACTGTTAATCATTGTATTGTATCTCAAAAACAGAGACAGACTCTTTTCATGTCATACAATGTATATACAATATATAGGGAACAGCACTGCTCTACCTTCTTTTTGGTGGGGTTCTTTGTACTCTTGTTGAGGCGATCCAGTGAAGAGCTGCTGCGGACGGAAAGAGGCCGCTCATGTGAGTCTGCAAGACTAACCAGAGATGGCTGGACCATTGTTGATTCTTCACCTTTAATTAACAGCTTCCTCCTTTCAACTATCTCCTCATGTGTCAGAGCAAAGGGGCCAAGCACCTAAATAAGGATATTAGAAAAAGATGCATGAAAATATACATGTTTAATGTGTCAAGTTAGGCAGAGTAAGGCCGATAAAATGAAGTTGTTAATAGGAGTATATATGTATACCTCAGCCAAATGAGCTGCTCCATTATCCCCTATTTGATTGTAGGATAATGACAGACACAGCAAGGAACGGTTGAGATGCAGACCCTTTAAAAGAGGGATGGGTGTTATTAAAAACTCGGTTTTAAGTATATGCAGTCATGACATCATTAGAAACTGTCTGAATGCCTTCAGATGGACAGAGTTAAATTTTACACACCTGAGAAATGTGAATTGCACCTGCATCACCAATACTATTAAAGGCTAGGTTGAGGGACAGGAGGTTTTTGTTGGCAGAGTGTACAGTGGACAGAGCCGAGCCAATCAGACGAGCTCCTTCCTCTCCTATATGATTATTACGTAGTGATAAGTCCGTCAACCTAGCATGGACATTATTTGAAAAAAGCTGAAAAACTCAAATAAAAAAAGTGACAAACTACAAATAATGCATTTTGTCATTATGAGAGAGATACATTATAACACACATTATAACATTGTTTTGATATCATAAAAGTCAGATGCACTTTAAAGGCCTCATGGCCTATGTGACTGAGATTGTGTATGAAGGATTCGAGAATGAATAATGTGTACACTGCCCACAAAGATTATTAACACTTTGACAGCTCATATGTAATATATATGCCTCTGGGACCTCTGGGCACCTGGAGAGGGTTAAATAAAAAAGTAAAAACAGACCAGTGGGAAAACAGAAAATTAAAAATTAAAAACAGACCAGTGGGTAAAATCACCCAATTAAAGAAGAATCGATAGAGCTAATAAAAAAATTGTGGAAAGCAAGGGGAATAACATACATAAAAAAAGTGACCTATATGCTTATTGGACAGTGACTTATAACGAAACTGTATAAGAATGGAAGCTTGGAACGAGACCAGTTCAGATGGTCAGCTGGCATCTTGGCTTTGTTGTCTTGTCCACTAAAGTCTCATTTTGACTTCTAAACCTCTTGAGTATTATTCCAGAAAGAATGAGAAGACTTTTCTGCACTACAATTTAACCATATTTTGAAGACAAATTTGTACGCAGAAGTGAACTAAATCTGACAGAAGTCATTACTTGTAAATAAATAAATAATAAATTAATTCATTCATTTTTACTACAATTTAAAATAACAGTCTTTATTCTAATATATTTTAAATTGATTGTAATTTATTCCTGTTATGGCAATGCTGAATTTTCAGCAGCCATTATCCCAGTCTTCAGTGTCACATGATCTTTCAGAAATCATTCTGATGATCTGCTACTCAAGAAACATTTATTATTATTATCAATGTTGATTTTTTTTTTTTGCTGTTTAATATTTTTTGAGAAAACTGTAATGCAATGTTACTTTTGTAACATTGTTTTTACTGTCACTTTTAATCAATGAATGCATCCTTGCTGAATAAAAGTATTAATAAAATATCCCAAAACATTTACCCCAAACTTCTGAATGGTAGAATATATTGTAAGTGTAGCGTTTGGACCAATCAGACACACAACTATTCATTATATTTAATGAATAATCCAGCAAACCCCCTCACCTAAAAAGCAAACTATGTGTTAGAGTTCTGTGGACAATCCCGAAAAGCAACGGACACCCCAAAAAGGCAGAATAGGCCTCTGGTTACCATGGCAAGCAATGACAAATCATCTGACAACACTGCTTTTATTGCTCAAAGGAATGTGGAATTACTCTCACTCTATTTCCCCACAGGAAAGACACATAATGCCCATAGAAATGGACTCTTCCCTATTAATTCATAGACAAACCTTTCTATGACCTTCCTATCATGCATAACCCCTACACTCTTAAAAATAAAGGTGCTAAAAATAGAATGTGTTAAAAATGTAAAAGATTGGATGACCAATAATTTTCTCCTATTAAATTCGGATAAGACAGAGATAT